CTCATGAAACAATCGGTAGAAGCGCTATAGCGCAACGTTAAAATAGTGATGGTGACCATTACAGTCACCTTTCGCGCTGCTCATGGATAGAAAAGTGAGAAAAGCTGCAAGGGACTGATACTTCAATTCTAGTGCCAAGAAAGAGCAAATACTAGAAGCTTACGGGTGCCGTTTATTCAGAAACTACAATATGCGCTCTCAGAGCTGCGGGCGACTTCTCTTTAATGTGGATTGAAGTGCATGCGCAGCATGTGAGGCGCCGCAATCAAACATTCCGGATTCAAAACGGAGAATTCTTCACAAGACAGGTCCTTGAAAAATGGAGCTCACTTCTACAACGTCTTCCTCGGCATCCTCTATAGTCTCTTCTACAGCAGCGTCCTCTTCAGCAGCATTTCTTCGATGTTTTCTGAGTCTTCTTCAGTGATTACTTCTGACGCTGTACCATTTCCCGATTGTGAAACTCCTTTCGAAGGCTCGCTTTCTGGCCAATCGCTCAGGGTACCATCAAGGAACTCAAAAATGGCTTTTGATGATATCGCTCTATCTGAAAGAACTAAATTCAAAGCAACACGATACATATTTGTTTGGAAGTAATGGAAGCAAAACGAACTATTATGAAACTGCAACAAACTTTGCACTGTATTGCTAGATAACAACTTTCTATTTACAAGTATTTTCTTACCAATATCCTTCGTCTGTATTGTTTTCCGCTTTTCAAGAACAGCTTGCGTATACGATGCTTTCGCTAACTCAGCCACGAACAGCTCCTGAACTGATCACAATTTTTGCCGCACACCATATGGCCACAAATGTGGACATCACAATGAGATTAAAGAAATTTTTGATCTCCGCACCGCAAAGCATAGAAGTAAACAGTAATAGAGAGGGCATTCCACGGTCACCGGATGCGATTATACCATCTCTGTTCAGAGACTTTAAAGTTCCCATGGAAATTTGAATATGGACCTAGGTTAATCGATAGGGGCAATAATACCAGTCACAAATATAGAGGCCAAAAGCTCCATCTTTGTGACTGGTATTACTGCCCCTATCGATGATATTGTGACTGGTAAAGCAAAGCTGATACGTGAAGTTTCCAAGCAAGTTCTAAGCGGTTGAAGTTCGCAAGTAAATGCAGCAAATTTCAGAGCGAATCTGATTCCAATGACCCCTTTGCAAAGATGAATTTGTCTTTTGTTGATCATCCACCTATCTACCGTTGTAGGCAAGAATTCAGAGAACATTGGAAATGCTGATGTGGGTACTGTCGCGGATCATATACTGACGCTATGTTTTCTAATAAGTTCAACTGCTCACATCTCACTTGGAAAGTTTTGGTATCCATATTTGTACCGACAATCTCGACTGTTCCGATACACTAGGGTCTCAGTTCGAAGTCTATGTGAACAGTTGACACCTTCCTGATGGGCATCTTACAATTAGTATATGCCTCTAATGGCTATAACCAGAGGTACGTTGAGAGTGACCGTGGAAATTTCAGTCCGCTTTTCTGTAGAGAGCTTTCAGTTATCAAGAAACCTGAAACCAAATCTGCTAACGGGCTACGTCTAACCGGCAGTAATGAACAACTTTTGGCACGCTGCCCAATTCAACTTATGAAAAACGTCAAATCTAAAAGCATCTTATCCATGAAAAGCATTGAAGAGAATCAGAATAAACTTACCGTTGCTTTGGTAATGAAGAGTATAGCATCACTGCCAATCATGGAAAGATCAGGATCCAAACGGCATATCTTTTTCACACGAGAGGTCGGTAATGAGCAGTTCAACAGTTCAGCCACTTCAACATGATCTTGAGTAATCGTGTCTGCTTCAGGGTTCATTTCCTAAATAATTACAGGAATAGAAAAAGGCGGTCCGCAATTTAACCATCACGAGCAAACGTAAAACGAAGGGAGGTTTGTAATAAGTGTCTCATCCAGTGGGGGTAGGCATGTGATGGGACCTTAGCCAGCGTTTACTGTAAACTTTGCAAGGGAAGGAAATCCCGGAAGTGCGCGAACTATTTCGCTTCCAACGTGAACTGCGAAGCGATGTTAACATGACCCCTCCCCACTTACTGGTGAAACCCCATGATACAAACACATCTTACGAAAATCGTAAAGGGTAAAAGTATGAATAAATGCCAAGCAAGCGCAAGGCCACAGCAAAACCTGAAAATTTAAGTTTTGAAAGTTTGTGGTTCGCGCGTTATCAGCCATAGAGCACCATCGAATGTCGTTGGGTCAGCATTGGTGCAGCTCTCTCGATTACGATTATCACGAGTTTGTTCCTTCATTGTGCGACGGTCATGAACTTACAAAGCATTCCCTCAGATTCGCGCAAAATGTTAGGATTTTCAAATCCATGAAAGTGTGCGCTCCAAGAGCTACTACTCAGTTTTATGAGCAGTGCAACGAGTACAGTGGAATGAGGTACGTTTGTTTCTTTTCGAAATATATTGTTGTTACGCTATAATTATTTTCAAGGGACTAATGATCAGAATGGATTGAATGTTTCCTTGTCAGTTCCAGATTTGTTGGAAACATGTGCGCGAAAATTGGTTCAAGAACGGAACAGCGACCTTGAGACCATTCATTCACGCTGACGGCTACCGCACTGTTCGCTCGTTTGCGTGTTTCAGGTAAGACTTTGATGCATATTCAATTCCTCCTCGATTTAACAATTTAGCGCGGAAGTAGAAGCTGCGCTTATGCAGAAGTGGCAAGTATTATAAGGAAGAAAGGACATCTAATGATTTTCCGCTGCACGGTGGTGGTCATCAAGTGGTTGTCAGTCCAAAGGGTTGTAATAATTCATCGAAAATTATACCAAGCTGGGGTTCTTTTTCACTCCTACGCTCAGCATTCCTTATTCTACTATACATGAAGCACTTTTTAATGTGTTTGCCGGTTACGAACTTTATTACCTGAAGAGTAACCGAAAATTTCGAACTGATTGAACAGCTTTGGACCGGTGAGAAATGGGTAAGGGTGTGCAGTGAGTTGCCAGCTCTTATAAGGTAGGCCCGCCCCCAATAGGTGGAGCTTGCCTACAAGTGAACAGCGTTTTCTAGAAATACTCGTAATTTGGTAGGAGATTGACTAAATCGGGGAAGGAGGACCAAAGGGTTGGTTCGCTGTTGGTGAGTGTGGCACGCAGTGAAGTGGGCGGAGTTTGCTGCGAGTAATTATAATTCGGTTACGCGACTGTTCTGAAACCGTGATAAATTTGAGGTGGAAAGAAGGTAGGAGGAGGAATAAGCCCCGATAAGTGAAGCATGCACCGGCGAGGGCGTATCTGGTGTGCGGAGCCTAACTGGTAATATAAAGAAGAAGAGAAAGGCTTGTTACTTGGCATTTTGTTACTCGTCCAGGCTTTCAACATTAATATTATCTTGTTTCTTCTATCTCAATAACTCACGATGTTTTAGGTGTCTCATGGTTTTATATTGTCTGAGGCATAATGAATGTGGTGCCAAATTGTTGGTCACTTCCACAGATTTCCGGCGGCTTACGTGTCCACTTTGTCATCTTGGATTTGAGGTATGCCCTTAAACATTGTTAGATTCCTTTTAGTCATGCCATCCCTTGGTTCTCTGCATGAAAACGAATACAAAAAACGTTTGCGATTTTCTAATGCTCAATATTCTCAATAGCCAGTTCGCCGTTCGCAGTACAATGGGACCCCAGATTTCCTTGAGTTACATCTATGGGTACATGACTAAATGCAGCCTTCACTTAGGAACATGTATGCGTTTGTAAGCCATGGTCGAAGAAGATATAGCAAGAGATCTTCCCAACATGGTCCTGCATTTCGCTTTTTACTTATTTCATGAATTGTTTTCTCTCTAGCTCTGATCTTTTCAGTACTCGGGATGGGAAAGCGAATGTGTACCTGCTCCTTTCGTAGCACAGAGCAGTCTAGGCTGTGCTGTGGTGCTGAAACCTACTCGAGGAGACTTCCTACAGTAAGCTCATCAAACACCTTCAAGGCTTTTCGTTCCTACTACACTAAAAGAATTGAATGAATGGTTTTATTACTTATCTCTTTTGCCTGTTACTTTTTTCTCTAGGTTTATACTTTCAATCCTAAATGTTGTTTTTAAGGGCTTCTCTCGGCTTCCTATTCTTTACATCCCCGATCAGTTCCCACTTTGAGCAACCAAGCCCTCTCCCTCCCGAGATCGCTTGATTGTTCCCATACAAGTCGAAGGCGCAAAACTTGGTTCTTCACGTGGCGGGCTAGCGCGTTTAATTGCAGAATTTTATTTTGAAAGCCCCTGCAGTTCTAAATGGAAGTAGTTGGACAGTTGAGAGTTTCTCTAAAGCTATGAGCCTTCATTATTTTTAAAATTGATGTTAACGTTAGGTGACGCTTTGCACGAAGATTTTTGTATAGCATTAAATACGTCCAAGACATCGGATGTCTTATGAATTCGTTCTACACTCCAAATCGGAGCGATTTGGGAGTGGTAGCAATAACTTATATAGCAATAAGCAGTAAATTCCTCATTTCAGTTATAATATGGGCGATGATCTTCATATTGGCATTTCAAATTCAGTGTCTGTGGTGCATTCCTACTGGGTAAATGGCATATCTTCAGAATGTGTTGGCTGGGATAAGTCAATAGTAGTCTGCCGTTTCAGTGATGATGAGGACAGGTTGCCTTCTAGTTGTTGGTTTTATGTCTACCCCTTTTCCGATTCATGATTTCTTTTCAGGTTTGACTTCTTGCTGTCTTCCTTTCTTCGAGAAACTGCCAACAATTTTGAACAAGAGGTGTGTTTCCAAAAGATCAATTTTTGCCCATTTTCTACAACCTTTTTCCTTGATCAATTGGGATTTTGATATAATCGTAGTACTGATACTAGTGAGATCAATGGCCGTGAATGGAAGAGGGTGGTTTTGGATGACCTAATTTACTAAGCTAGCTCTCATTGTTATATATCGTGAGGATCTTACTCCAAATTTCAATGATTCTTGTAAAGCCGTTGTCATTTCGAAGGCAGCATAAGCCTTGGCAAAAATTAGAGCTTAGCGCGAATAGCATTGCTAAGGTGAGCAAATCGTATTTGAAGGAGTATTTTGAATTCACTTGTAGTAAGCTTTTTCATTGAGAAAGTTAGAGCATTTACTATCTTATTTATTTCGTGTTCGGAAATTTGAAAAAGGATGATTTTTTCTCAATCTGTTCCCTTATTATTACTAGAATGGTTAGACCGACGTCATAGTCGGCGACGGAACAAGCGATGGAGCGATCGCGATCGCTCCATCGCTTGTCCGTCGCTTGCCAATCGCTCTTGGTCGAGCGATTGGCAAGCGATTGCGCAATCGCTTGCAAAGTGCACAAGCGACGGGCAATGGCTCTGCTCGATCGATACCGCAGCCGACTGCATTGACTGGGGGCGGGGCCAATCGCCCGTCGCTTGTGCACTTTGCAGCGATTGCGCAATCGCTTGCCAATCGCTCGACCGAGAGCGATTGGCAAGCGACGGACAAGCGATGGAGCGATCGCGATCGCTCCATCGCTTGGTCCGTCGCCGACTATGACGTCGGTCTAACGCTAGTTATCTTCATTATTACATGGTGAAACATTTGTGGCGCTGAACCAACAGGTTCTGCCATTCCAGAGTATTTTTCATAATTCCAGTATCTTAGAAGGACAGAAGATGTTTCAAACTTAACTATAAGGCTCTACTAGAAATCTATCAGCTTTCAGTTCTATGATGACGCACGGTGGAACTGTTTCGATTTTGTTATGGAGTTCTTGCGCTTCATCAATTTCCGAAGATACACGAAAATAGATTTCGTATCAGAATTTGTTCAAGGCGCTTTAAATAGCGCAATTAAGTATAATACGTTAGTGCACCGGGTCAGGAACGTGGCCATTGTCTTTAGGAGTTAAAACTTGTGAATTGTCTAGTTAGTCATTAAGGGCATGGAATACATTAGTCTCTCTTTCTCTATGACATATTTTCTCCTCATAAAAACTCGAGTTATGTTTTTCATGTGTAGCTGTCGCAAAATAAACCGCTATCATTCCTTGGAATCATTGCCTTGCCATTACTCATAACTTTCGCAATATTATGGTTTATGTAGTCTTACTGAAGGGTTCGCAGAGGCCCCAACACCTCAATTTAATTTGTAATTTTGAGCATTCATTGTATTGCTGAAAACAGTTCCTCCAAACCAGTAATATGTAATTGATAGTACTTAAGTCGTCCACATTTTACACATCCACAGTTTATCCATTTTCCCTACCCCTGTTTGTTCTCCTATTGAAGATCCGGAAACAACAATATTACATATAAATAAAACTTCTTTAATCGATTTCTGAAGAGGCATTGATTTCCGCTATTCGGTACTATGCACTAATGAATCTGAAAGGATCAGTGAAAATTGTATTCCAGTATCAGATCTCACAATGGCAGAAATGCTGGAAGAGAATTCAAACGTAGACGCTGACCGTGTCATAGATCAACAGAGCTTCAATTGTTCACAGGTTCTCTGTCACATCTTTTATGCTCTAAGCCGATATTCGAAGTGAATTGTTAATCCTGTTTCAGTTTGAAATATTTACGCATGAGTATCGCGAACGTAAAGAGGTTCCCGGTTGTGAAGATCATGGCAGTGGTGGTAGTTCGTGCTGCGGGTCACCGTCATCATGTGGAGATAATAAAAAACGTATAGTTAATTCAACGAGAAAGCTTCAGAAAGCTGTACTTGCACTGCAACGGTATGTTTTTCTATGGTTCGATCTATTTCAGCACACTTTATGTTAATTGATTGCAATTTTATAGAATGCCTAATAGTGAGGCGATAAGTGACATGCTACAAAAGATGCGAGATATTGGAGGGCGTTTGAATGAGGAGTTGAAACAGCTACAGGCCGAGTTTTCCACAAAGACAGTCGCCTTTCCCGTGTTTGATCCCGCTGATATGCATCTTTTGCTTGGAGAGGATGAGGTGAGTGTCTTTGATACCACTGATATGCATGTTTTGCTCTGAGTACAGGTGGTTATCTATTTATGGTCAAATCTAGCCCAAGATGAAGCTGATGGGATAAGAGCGCTTGATAATGAAAGCAGGGATTGTGAATTGGAGTGCCAGCTTACATAAAAAGGACCTTCGAACACAAAAAAATACGGAGCCTGTTCTACGATGTGGAGTGTAATGCACAGTAGAGACCGAGATGACAGATATGGAGGTCGATGAGACAAAGGGATGTCTACAGACGAGAGAGCACGAGACGAAATGGATCAGATACACCACGGGGGAGGGGGTGGAACCGTAGCAGTTCAGATCGACTAGCGTTTATTGCCCAATAACCGTTCATGGCATCTGCCCCATTTCAACTTGCACTTCACTCATCCCGGGTTGTGCCTTCAGACCAGCATGCAAAGTTCGCCTTTCGCTGAGGAAAGCTCGACAATTGTTCGACTTTGGTAAGTATTTGTGGGTTGATCTTCAAAGTGGTAGAGCAAATAGGGATTTCTCCGCTATCCCAAGATATGGCCTAGGACTAATCCAAGGAGGAAGCAGGAGGATCGGGGAAATAAAAAAATTCCACGCAATCTGGAGCGTCTTCTTCCCTAAGACTTAAATCCATTTTTGACGGAATGGAGATGTTTTAGGTGGTTTGATGACGATGCCTCCGCAACTTGTGATATCGCCGGGATTTTTAAAGATTTCCAGACATTTTTATCGTTTGCAGCAACGTACACCGAATTTAACGCAAACCGAAATTCTTTTATGCAGGAATATGGGTAAGGGGGTGTACAAGATATGATCTGACGGAGAACCTGATCCAAAAGTAGCAAAGTGGGTTATAATAGTGTTCACTTGGTGGTGAAGGTGGTTGCGGGGAGGTCGCGGACCACTTGGGCGTTATTCATTTCTTCTCCCAGGGGGATGTATCCCCTCCTCCTCTGCTGCAGAGGAGGGGATACATCCCCCAGGGACGTGATTGAAGTACCGCCCTTGAACAGGCCCTTTAAAACCTCTGCGCTCTCTCGCGGAGTCCCTCTCCTCTCCAAGGCTTAGTCCTAGGGCATTCAGCCGTTCGACCTCTAATCGTCTGTGCTCTAGCCATCGCGGCAGGACCATTGAGGAAAAATCAAGTAGTCCGTAAACTGTAGCGGGGGAAGGGCTAGGTGAGGAATCGCACTTGGAGAATCTGGATATCGTTTATGCTGAACCCAGCAGTTTGGATTTGATTTTGGATGTTCTCAGGTTTTGTGGCTAGAATATCGATTTGTTTCAGGTTCCAAAAATACGAAGTTCATTCGAAGAAGTTGAAGAGTCTGAACGTGCAGCTCAACAGCGGTTAGAGAATCTTCTGTTCGAGGCGGAAGTGATGTTGCGCGAATATGAGCATTTAAAGCAAGGAATACGTGTTTGACTGAATTCGCTGATTGTTGTTGCTCCCAAATGCATGTGATTGTCTTTCAAGTGAAACGACTTTCTAAACTAGTCCTCCATTCGAACTTATACTCAGTTAAAATCGAATTGGCAGATTGACCTATACATAAGCCTGGAATTGGTGTACTGTCGCGCGAAGTCATTTTTCTAAACCCTTTCACCGCCAATATGAGATAGTGAGCCTACTATATCCGAGCAAATATCATTACCAGTTTGACTGGCGTTCATTTTGGTGCGGCCTCATGCAAACAGGCTGTTCTATGGAACACCAGATCCCATGAGTGGTTTTAACCCTCATTTTGTCTAGTCTCTCCCTATACCCTTTGTAAAATTGCCCATGGTCCGACACAACAACGTTAGAATCCCGTCGATTTGCCGAGGTCCTGGTATTAAATAAATCTCTTCCTTTATTATATACCACAACCTTGGTGTCGTTTGTTTATGATGTGCGTAAGTTTTGTCTGTGTCCGGTTCGCGAACAATCAGTGCGTTGACAAGCAAGGTAAGGATAACAGCCGCTTTTACGACATCTTGGGTATCTCGCAGGCTTGCCTCTCAATGCTTCAGTAGGATGATTGTGATAAAACCCCAACACTATACTAAACATCTACTTAGCACCCTTCCGGTCACTCCTCAAGGTGCTACAGTGGCAGCTGGAGAGCAATGGAGGAGGGGAGGAGTAGGAACTCAAAGTTTACGCAGGGAAGAAAGGTTCCGGCGATTGCCGGGGACCAATTTGGTACTGTACATAAAGGAAACGATCACGCTGGCTCTGAGGTATGGTTGCTACGTACGCGTTACCAATCGATAAGATCTGAGGCAGTAATTGTTGGACGAGTGTAAGCCCATGGAAGATATGATACGATAAGATACGGCTGCTTGATAAGAGGTGCACTCCAGAATGAAAACGGGACGATAACGATAACGGTATCATATCTAGCACGCTCTTATCGCACCCCTTTCCACATCGATAAGTTGTTTTTGCTACCGGAAGTGGATTTCGGCGCCTTATCACTCCGTTGATAAGGCGCCACTGCCACTGAAACTTCACGTGTTGTAACATTGGGCAGGACCCCTATCCACTCCATACGTAGCTTTCCTTATCGTCTCCATAGGAATTATCGTGACCACTTCCTTTAACATAGTGGCTGCTATTGTTGTTGACAAAAGGTGGTCATCCTTCAATTATATAAAACGCTTATTTGGTGTGTCGGTTTGTATATACGTACGTTTGTGTGTCGATGTGTCTGTTTGTCTGTCTACGAAATGAAGGAAACTAGTGTAAAAAATTGCTAGTATTGGTTTTGTTGTGCCTTGACGAGGTTGTTAGGTGGAACATTTATTCAATGGCTTAACATTTCGATTGAGTCTTCAGAGGTCGACGGTTCCAGCCGTTGAGCGCGTGGAGGTTCGCTGCCACACAAGAGCGTTAGTCAGTTGGATCTCCCGAAGATGCCGCAGATCTAGTGATATTAAGATCAGTCGAACCATCCGTTTATGAAACTAAACTCAGTCAGTATTTAGAGGTACCACTTTCTTGTGCATAAACATCTACTTCACGAGATGTTAACT